ATCCTTCTGTCTATTACTTTATCCAGGGTGAATCACATATAAATCCTTCTGTCTGTTACTTTATCCAGGGTAAATCATATATACATCCTTCTGTCTATTACTTTATCCAGGGTGAATCACATATAAATCCTTCTGTCTGTTACTTTATCCAGGGTAAATCACATCAAATATATGATAATACCTTTTGGGATGGGCCAAGTTTCGGTACTTAAATCAGTCGTGTGCGGCCACCATATACAGAGTTACAGCCCTTTTGAATTTTGTGATATCAAAGTTTCTTTGGCAGTAAAACTGATTGAAACGAATTGATCATAGATTACGACCAGGGACTAAAAAACACATTTGTTGACTAAATATGGGGCAATCAAAAGCACCATTAACACATTTGTAAAGAAATAAAGTCTAAAAATTCCCGCCTATGTTCGAGGCTAGGAAGATTAAAATGCCAAAAGTGTCAGCGTGTTTACATCAGGGTCAATAATATCAAATTATAAAACAAGGTGTTTTTTTCAATATACGAAGTTGCATGGATGCTGACCTGGAATACAGTTGTAGTGTACAGACAGGGCGGTGGCCAACTGGTTACAGGAGGAGATGGTAGTATTAGCGGGTACACTGAACTCACAGGAACCCTTCCCATTACAGTGGCCCACACTAATGGGATTCAGGAACTCTGCCTTTGTACATATCGCAGTACCAGGGCCAAGATCAGCGGAACAAGGACTGGTACTATAGCTGTAGGTCTCGTAGACGATGTGAATTAGCCATCCGCTTGTACAGGTTAGGGACAGTTGTTGACCTGCACATGTTGCATCACTTGTGATCATACAATCTAGAACAGATTTTACATGTAATATAAATACTTCATTGTGATATTAATGTGAAGAAAGAAATTGATGATTCATGCGTTCCCTGATGAAGAAATTATTGAAAAATACAAAATACAGAAATGTTTGTTAAAATTTTAAAAAATCAACATTCTGGTCAGCTGGACAATCGATATATAATCAACTACCCATGTAAATCAACATTCTGATTAGCTGGATAGTCGATATAGAATCAACTACCCATGTCAAACAACATTCTGGTCAGCTGGACAGTTGATATATAATATAATCAACTACCCATGTAAATCAAGATTCTGGTCAGCTGGACAGTCAATATACAATCAACTTCCCATGTAAATCAACATTCTGATTAGCTGGATAGTCGATTTAGAATCAACTACCCATGTCAAACAACATTCTGGTCAGATGGACAGTTGATATATAATATAATCAAGTACCCATGTAAATCAACATTCTGGTCAGATGTACAGTTGATATATAAACAACTACCCATGTAAATCAACATTTTGGTTAGCTGGATAGTCGATATAGAATCAACTACCCATGCCAATCAACATTCTGGTCTGCTGGACAGTCGATATATAATCAACTACCCATGTAAATCAACATTCTGGTCAGCTGGACAGTCGATATAGAATCAAATACCCATGTAAATCAACATTCTGGTCAGATGTCAGTTGATATATAAACAACTACCCATGGAAATCAACATTTTGGTTAGCTGGATAGCCGATATAGAATCAACTACCCATGCAAATCAACATTCTGGTCTGCTGGACAGGCGATATATCATCAAATATCCATGTAGATCAACATTCTGGTCAGCTGGACAGTCAATATATAGTCAAATACCCATGTAAATCAACATTCTGGTCAGCTGGACAGTTGATATATAATATAATCAACTACCCATGTAAATCAACATTCTGGTCTGCTGGACAGTCGATATATCATCAAAAACCCATGTAGATCAACATTCTGGTCAGCTGGACAGTCGATATAGAATCAACTACCCATGCCAATCAACATTCTGGTCAGCTGGACAGTCGATATATAATAAACTACCCATGTCAATCAACATTCTGGTCAGCTGGACAGTCAATATATAATCAACTACCCATGTAAATCAACATTCTGGTCAGCTGGACAGTTGATAAATAATATAATCAACTACCCATGTAAATCAACATTCTGGTCTGCTGGACAGGCGATATATCATCAAATATCCATGTAGATCAACATTCTGGTCAGCTGGACAGTCGATATATAATCAACTACCCATGTCAATCAACATTCTGGACAGTCGATATATAATCAACTAACCATGTAAATCAACATTCTGGTCAGCTGGACAGTCGATATAGAATCAAATACCCATGTAAATCAACATTCTGGTTAGCTGGACAGTCGATACATCCACTTTTATGGCATGGTAGGTAATTCAAGCAAGAACATAATGATATATTTATCTGAAAACACTAAAAACAAGAAAAATATTATCAATCAGTAAAATTAGATACACGCAATAATTGGCATGTGTGTTTGTATTTACATGCATGTGTACGTATGTAAGTGCATGCAGACTTGCTGATGTTAGTGTGTATGTATGTGCATGTGTATGCATGTATGTATATACGTATGTAGGTCGTAGGAGTGTATATTATGTACGTATGTATATGTGTGTGTATAAGTGTTTTGTTAATGTTTATAGTGATTATGATACTGATGTATATGTAAACACGTCTGGATGTGTGTGCTGTGTGTGAAATGTGGTACATGTAGTATGTTTTTGTTCTGTAGATGACCAATACTCTATGTACAAATGTTTTATTTCCCAATCAAATTTCTGAATGTTATATATTGATGAAAAAATGTTATGAAATTGAAATATTTGAGTTTAGATAAAATTAACAGAGAAAAATGAATGAGAGCCCTCCTGTGTGAGCTNGTAAATCAACATTCTGGTTAGCTGGACAGTCGATACATCCACTTTTATGGCATGGTAGCTAATTCAAGCAAGAACATAATGATATATTTATCCGAAAACACTAAAAACAAGAAAAATATTATAGATCAGTAAAATTAGAAGTATTACACTGAGACAAACCTCTTCATTTGCTAATATGTTATCGAACGTATTCCAACAACACTAGAAAGTTTTCATAGAGATAAATGTTTCATACTGAATGTTTTGTAGATATATACGTATCTAAAAACGGATAAAACAAAAAAAATATCATCTCAAGGTGAAGTTGGAAATATATGCAGTTCTTGAATAAGACTACTCATTTGTTCTTGTTGTCAAATATGATTTTGAAGGAAACATGAGTCTATCCAGGGGTACTCCATGCTGTTATTGATAGACTAAATACAGATAGTATATCAGAGCATCTGTCTGGCCCAGCATGGCACCACTTACGGTGTAAGGGTAGCCACGTCAGGACAGTAGAGAGTAGTACAGTCCACCTGGAAAGCCAGCTAGCCAAGGTGTTCTCCTGTTTACTGTACACAACAGCCATCACATCGTAGTCAGGCTCCTAGTCAGACTCATCTGTGTGCACATCCTAGTACCCTGGGTAATCAGATTTGTTACCTGTCGACTTATAGGTCTTCAGTGGTGGTCGTCATTGTAACTACCTAGAACAAGTAAATAAATGTGAGATATTAACGGTATCACAGAGCTATAAATATGTCCCCCTGGAAATTAGTGAAATACCTGTTTAGTAGAACTAGTTATGTTACTCATAGAAGTAAAATACCTGTATCACAGAACATAAGTATGTTCTCATGTAAGTAAAATACCTGTATCACAGAACATAAGTATGTTCTCATGTAAGTAAAATACCTGTATCACAGAACATAAGTATGTTCTCATGAAAGTAAAATATCTGAATCACAGTCTTTAGTATAACCTTTTAGTAAGTAAAATACCTGTTTCACAGAATGAAGTGTGTTCATCTGGTAAGTAAAATATCCATATCACAACATATAAGTATGTCCTCATATAACTATGTTCCTCATGTAAGTAAAATACCTGTTTTAGAAAACCTAAGGTACCTTATAGGGATAAGCCTCCCTGAACTGTATGGGTAGTGTAATAAATTGATCAATTGTGGATTTGATGAAGATGATGATTTTGTTTGTTTGTCTGTGTTAATCAATTATGAAGTACAGTGACAGACAGCTGTTACAACCCCCTCCACCCTCGAACTCTGAAGCCCAGCTGTTACCTCCCTTGTTTAACTACCGTGAATAGACGGCCAATGAAGAAAACATTGATGTGATCGATGTAAAGTGTAAGAGATACGCCTATCATATCTGCGTGAGTAATGGAAGTCCCTGTACATATACCTACACACAGGGTTCACTGTGACAATAAATTCACCCTTATATGTCTTTAATTGTTAAACTGGGTACGGACAATAGACACCTTTCTCTGATAGGTGTGGGTATTACTATCTGATGGGTATATACGTATAGGTGTGGGTATTACTATCTGATGGGTATAGGTGTGGGTATTACTATCTGATGGGTATAGGTATGGGTATTACTATATGGTGGGTGTAGGTGGGGGTATTACTATATGATGGGTATATATATAGGTATTACTATATGAGGGGTATAGGTGTGGGTATGATTATATGATGGGTATAGGTGTGGGTATTACGATATGATGGGTATAGGTGTGGATATTACTATATGATGGGTATAGGGATGGGTATTACTATATGATGGGTATAGGGTATATTACTATATGATGGGTATAGGTGTGTGTATTACTATCTGATGGGTATAGGTGTGTGTATTACTATCTGATGGGTATAGGTGTGGGGTATTACTATCTGATGGGTATAGGTGAGGGTATTACTATATGATGGGTATAGGAGTGGGTATTACTATATGAGGGGTATAGGTGTGGGTATTACTATCCGATGGGTATATGTGTGGGTATTACTATCTGATGGGTATAGGTGTGGGGTATTACTATCTGATGGGTATAGGTATGGGTATTACTATCTGATGAGTATAGGTATGGGTATTACTATCTGATGAGTATAGGTATGGGTATTACTATCTGATGAGTATAGGTATGGGTATTACTATCTGATGAGTATAGGTATGGGTATTACTATCTGATGAGTATAGGTATGGGTATTACTATCTGATGGGTATAGGTGTGTGTATTACTATATGATGGGTATAGGTATGTGTATTCCTATCTGATGGGTATATGTGTGGGTATTACTATCTGATGGGTATAGGGGTGGGTATTACTATATGGTGGGTATAGGTGTGGGAATTACTATATGATGGGTATAGGTATGTGTATTCCTATCTGATGGGTATATGTGTGGGTATTACTATCTGATGGGTATAGGTGAGGGTATTACTATATGATGGGTATAGGCGTGGGTATTACTATATGATGGGTATAGGGATGGGTATTACTATATGGTGGGTATAGGTATGGGTATTACTATATGATGAGTATAGGTGTGTGTATTACTATCTGATGGGTATAGGTATGGGTATTACTATATGGTGGGTGTAGGTGTGGGTATTACTATATGATGCGTATAGGTGTGGGTATTACTATATGGTGGGGATAGGTGAGGGGATATTACTATATGATGGGTATAGGTGGGGTTATTACTATATGATGGGTATAGGTGTGCGTATTACTAGATGATGGGTATAGGTGTGGGTATTACGATATGATGGGTATAGGTGTGGATATTACTATATGATGGGTATAGGTGTGCGTATTACTAGATGATGGGTATAGGTGTGGGTATTACGATATGATGGGTATAGGTGTGGATATTACTATATGATGGGTATAGGGATGGGTATTACTATATGGTGGATATAGGTATGGGTATTACTATATGGTGGGTATAGGTGAGGGTATATTACTATATGATGGGTATAGGTATGTGTATTACTATCTGATGGGTATATGTGTGGGTATTACTATCTGATGGGTATAGGTATGGGTATTACTATATGGTGGATATAGGTATGGGTATTACTATATGGTGGGTGTAGGTGTGGGTATTACTATATGATGGGTATATAGGTATGGGTATTACCATATGATGGGTATAGGTGTGGGTATTACTATCCGATGGGTATATGTGTGGGTATTACTATCTGATGGGTATAGGTATGGGTATTACTATCTGATGAGTATAGGTATGGGTATTACTATCTGA